GACCAGGAGAAGCACCTGGCTCCTGCCTTCGGATCAGCGCACGGTGCGCTGGCCACAGCGCGGCCGGCCATGGCGGCCATTGGAGGGTGAACCAACGGCAAAGGAAGACCTTTCTCCCTGTCTCTCTCTCTCACTACCCACTCTGCCTGTCAAAAACAAAAACAAAAACAAAAACAAACAAAAAACTAGTAATTGTTGCTTATTGCTTTGTCCCTTACCTCTTGTTTTGCTGAAGTTTGTCCTTTAGTAGTTTTTTCAAAGAGGGCTTGGGTAACACTTTTAAAAATTCTTGCCTATTTGAAATAGCTGGCAAATACGTTTGAGTAGAAGTTTCGGTTTAAAATTTTGATTTGGTATTTGAAAGCGTTTTTGGCATTTAAGCCTTGAATGTTGTTGTGGGCAAATCTGAACTTTTTGTTGGAACCTCTGCCCAGCTGTTCAGATGATTCCTTCTTAAAGGACCCAGGGTTGGGTGGGAGGATAGAAGTTGGCCTGTGTGTGAGAGGGGCCAAAAGCAGGAATTTGCTGTGGTTGACAGGGGGAAGGAACGTAGAAGCAAACCTTGGAAGCAGCCCGGCAGCCACAGGTTAAAAGATAGCATCAGGTGGGTCCCAGCCTTCTCCCGGGGCATCTTCCAGCCCTGTGCCTGGGGCTGTTAGGTCCAGTCACACTGCACTGATAAAGCCCTGGGAAAGATTCTACAGGAAAACTCTCCACCCCGCAGTATCCCAGGAGAAGAAGTGGGAAGGAGATAATGTAGGCCCAAACCCATAAAACTCCAGACTGAGAGCAGCCAGGGCGCTCTGTTCTTTGCTGAGAGGCCGATCTGGACTGCCAGGTGCATTCTCCTCATTAAACTTCACTGGCTTGCCCTGCTACTCTGTCGCAACATCTGAACTTCTTTTCTCATGGGAAGGGGAGAATCAGTGTTCCAGACTATGTCTCTGGGAACTCCAGGACACAGCCTCGTAGCGACTGTTTTATGCCAGTTACCCCTGGGTAGGACATGTTCACTGATTAGGGAAAACCAGCTTTTATTTTTGTAGTCCTCCGAGTTACACCTTAAACTTTGTGTGGACTTCGTGTTGTATCACTTCAGTTGTTCCTATCTGCGGCTTTTCTGATTCAAACCTTTCTCTTACTTTTCTCCACCTTTCCTCCCAAAGCCCTCATAGTTTCACTAGTACATAGCGGGTACTTCAAAAGGATCATGGGAAAATGGAATTAAATCATGTTTATTTTGGCATAAAAAATGTCAATCTGTGCAGTTTTTGCCTAACGTTCATTTTCTGTCAACTTGTTGAAGGCCCTTTGCGTGAATTTCAAGAATTTTTGCACCAAAAGGAAGTTTTATCCTTTAATTCCATTTTCCACAAACTTTCTGAGTACCCTTGGGTTTCCTTTAGCTCCTTGCCACTTGGTGCTGCCGCGATTCCTCCGTTTCTCCCTCTGCTGTTTGCCTTCCTGCTTTATTTCCCAGAGCTTCCCTGCACTCCTGGGAATCCTCTTCCACTTTTGTTCTTGGGACGGGCTATCTTCTTAAGTTTTGTGGATTTATGCAATATGCTTGGGCAGAATTTTAATCCATTGAATGCAGAATTTCTTTTGTGGGTGTTCACCTCTCATTTGCTTTTGATTTCTTTTTGGCCACATGTTTGTTAAGACCCCCTTTTTTCTTAAGATTTATTTGTGGGGCCGGCGCTGTGGCGCAGCGGGTTAAAGCTGTTGTCTGGGGCGCCGGCATCCCATATGGGCGCTGGTTCTAGTCCTGCCTGCTCCTCTTCTGATCCAGCTCTCTGCTCTGGCCTGGGAAAGCAGTGGAAGATGCTTGGGCCTCTGCACCCACATAGGAGACCTGGGGGAAGCTGCTGGCTCCTGGCTTCGGATCGGCGCAGCTCCTGCCGTTGTGGCCATCTGGGGAGTGAACCAGCGGATGGAAGACGTCTCTCTGTGTCTACCTCTCTCTGTAACTCTTTCAAGTAAATTTTTATTTATTTATTTTTAAGATTTGTTTGAAAGGCAGAGTTACACAGAGAGAGAGAGCGCAAGATCTTCCATCTGCTAGCTCAATCCCCAAATGGTCGCAACAGCTGGAGTTGAGCCAGGCCAAAGCCAGGAGGCTGGAACTCCATTCTGGTCTCCCACGTGGGATGCAGGGGCCCAAGCACTTGTGCCATCTTCCGCAGCTTTCACAGGTGCATTGTGGTGGGTTAAGGCCCCGAAGGTCTTTTTGTTGTTACCTGGCGAGTTCTTGATGAACTAGCTGTTTGCAGGAGGCTGGTGCAGGCTAACACATGGAACCACGTCCTATGCTAACAGGAGTTCTTGTGCCCCGAGGCTGTGTGTGTGTGTGTGTGGTCATTCCAGCCTTTGCCTGGCCCAGACTTTGGTGATGTCGCTGGCCTCAGCGGTGGATGCTTCCGGCACCGAGGGCTGGCCCGTGTGGTGTTGTGCAGCACCGTGCCCGGGGAGAGCAGCCACTGGGAGCCGGCACACCTGAGAAGGTTGTTGCCAGGGTGTCCGGTGGAGTTTGGGGAGTGGGGCCCTGCCAGTTTTCTCTGAGCTCTGCTGCCCTGGGCGGTCCCTCCCAGTGTCCTCCTGATCAGCTCTTTCTCACACCGCATGGCTGGAGCCACAGATGTCTTCCAGGGTCCTCACAGCGAGAAGGCTTGCATTCTCCTCTGTGTTCCTTACTGCTTCTGGGTGAATTCCAAGAGGAAGTCCTTAGGACATGGTGACAGACAACTCCAGCCTTCTCTCTTTCCTCTGCCAGTCCAAAATCTTACTGTTTTGTTATGGCTGCTGCTTTAAGAAACGTTTTACATAGATCCGAGGAATAGTTTTGCAAGAGGTTTTTGCTTTTGGGTCTGAAGTGATCAAGATTAGTATTCCCATATCACAAGGAAAGAAAGGTGACTCTCCTTTATTTTGGCCATTCCCCAAGAAACTCGGAGGTCAGAGGGAAACCACAGAGGTCAAGTCCAGCCAGAGCACGGGTTAACACCCACAGGAAGCCTGAAGGCTGCTTAGCCTTGTTTACCTGGAGAGCATGACGCTCTGTTACCAGGCTTACCAGTTTTGATGTCCAACATGCATTGCGGTTGCCCATTTATGACCAGCCAGCGTTCCTGAGATGTTCCTCTTTGCATTCTTCGGATGCCCCACTCAAAACCCACGGCTGGATTTACGTCTGAATTAAACAGAACTTTCCATGCGCAGCAGCAGCAGTGCGTGCACGCATAACAAAAAGAGCCAGAGATCCGCAAGTAGAAATAACACAGACAGCAGCTCATCTGGAGACTGAGCGAAGGACGTTCTAGCGCTGAGGGTAGGCTCATCACCAACTCAGCTCGCCGTGCGTTGTCACTTGATCTTTTTTTTTTAAGATTTATTTATTTGAAAGAGTTACACAGAAGGAGAGGCAGAGAGAGAGAGTGTGTGTGTGTGTGTGTGTGTTCTGGGGGAACGTCTGAATTTGACTCTACAGGAGATGGCTGAGTGTGATTTGGGCATGAAAACCCTCCCCAGCGAGGGTGACACTGGGAGCTCTTGCAGTTGCATGAGTGGATTCCACGCCCAGCTTCGACCCCAAAGCTGGAAGCGCCCCTCCCTGGCTTTCTGGGCCCGCCCAGGTCCCCTGAGTCCCACCTCTACCTCGCTTCTCTTTTCTACCTGCACGACCTGGCTGGTGTCTTATACACTGCTTCGGTTCCACACGCACCCCTTTTCAGGTGGGTCCCAGCTGTCACTCAGGCAGAGAACTGGTCTCTGGCGCCACCACCCAACCGCAGCTTCCCTGCCCCAGCAGCAGCCCCCAGGGCCGGGCGTCCGTCCTGGAATCGCCTCGCCTCGCCTCACCTCACCCGCCTGACTTCCTCCCGCTCTGCTCAGATTGCAAACTTCCTGGTCCTGGGTGAGCTTTCACCCCAGTAGCTTAACCATTGACCCGTGTCAGGTTAATTTTTCCACACAAGTGTGTCACTCACTGCCCTCAGCTCGCTGGCTGCTTTCTGCTTGCAGGGTAGACTGCTGGCCAGCGAAGCTGTGCAGGCCCCCTCCGTCCCCTGACTTCAGCCGTATCTCTCCACGCTGACCGCCTCTCCTTCTGCCCACCATCTTTTCTGTCCCGCGCCCCTTTGTCCATGTCTCCTGTCTCTGTCCACATCCTCGCCAAGGTGGAGTTCAGTTCCTACCTTCCCCTCACTTGGGCATTCTTTGCCGTGTGGCCTCAGCCATGGTACGTGCTGGCTGATGGCGCCAGTCATTAGGCAGTGTTGATGCTGTTGTATACCATGTCGTGCCAAGGTGGGGCTGAGACACTACGAAGATCCAGCCCAAATTCCTGCCTTAGGGCGGTCTCGGTGCCGGGGAGGAGGTGCACAGGCAAGCCTACCACCCATCGAGGGGTGGCTCTGGGCAGTTGGAGGAGTGGGCAACAGAGCAGCGACTCGGGATCATGAAAAGATATGGAAGGAATGGAGAGAGGACCTTGCCCCATGCTGCCTGCCGTGTGAGCGCTGCTGTGTTGGCTTCCTCCGGAGACATGGTGTGTGTTTCATCGGTCTCTTTATCATTGCCCGTGTTGCTTAGTGCGCTGCGCTGTCCCGAAAAGGTAATTAATGATACAGCCCAGGCACCGTTGGTCTTCCCCTGTGCTCAAGTGGAAAGGTCGTGCCCAGCCCATCGCAGACACTGAATAATAATGTGTGGAGCGCAGCGGAGTCTGTAGTCGGAATCGTTAAGGACAAGATAGGCAGCAATATGCAAATGTATGCAAAAGAACCAAGTATGCAGAATTATTAGCATGCTGTGGCTGCTTAAAGGTGACTTTGCAAGCACATGAAGGCTTGTGTGTGTAGGATTCCTGTGTAGGGCATGGCGCGCCTGCTCGCCCAGGTGGGAGCCCGGGACATTCTCGCGACAAAGGGGACAAGATGAGTGCTGTTGGAGACTTCGGGTGGTTTGAGTGAGCCTCCTCTCTGCTGTGTTCTTCCCTGCAGGTATCCCATAAGCCGCTTCCGTCATGGGGGAGATAGAGCAGAAGCCAACCCCAGGATCCCGACTGGGGGCCCCGGAGAACTCGGGGATCAGCACCTTGGAGCACGGACAGAAGCCGCCCCCGACCCCGTCAGGAAAACTCATGTCCATCAAAATCCAGATGCTGGATGACACCCAGGAGGCATTCGAAGTTCCAGTAAGTTCAGGGGTGTGTCTGGGCAGCCCTCAGCCCGAGCCCTCTCCCCTGCCCGTGTTTCTGTGACCGTGGCCGCAGAGGGTCCGTGTGTTCACCCCTCCCCCACCCCACGTCACTGGCCCATTCCGATTCTGAGCCATCCAACCTGAGATTTATGCACGAACCTCTCATATAGTGACGTCACTTGCATTTTACCGTAACCATCCGTCCATAAATATATGTAACATGTATGCAAAGGTATGTGATGTACTGATATGCATACATACTTCTATGTAAATAAGTATGTCTTATATAACATAGGTATGTGAGTATATGTTTGCATATGTATATAAGATATAAAATACATGATATATGAAACATGCATTTATATTAGAACTGGAGGAAGCACGGTCTAGTAGTTGCATTGGTTCATCACAGTAGTGCCTGTCTCGGGCTGGGTACATGTGGGTCCCGCCTCACACTGACCATATCACTGGCAGGAAGACTGGTAAGAATGCTGTCAAAGAGCTGTGTGCACACTTGCATGTCAGGGAATAGGGAGGGACTGTGTTTGCGGCTTCAGGGGCTAGGGCATGGACAGAGCAGAGAGGCCCTGATGCAAGCCCACCCTGCCAGGGACCAGGACAGGGAGACATGGGGCCAGAGGCGAGACAGAGAAGGAGCCAGCAGCCTGAGCCCCTCAGCCCCTGGCCTCCCTATTTTGGCCACTTTTCCCTGGAGGTGGAGGAGCCTCCCCCGTGGTGTGAGTGGAGCAGACCACGTGTCGGAGCAGAGCTGTACTTCCCTGGGGGTGGTGAGAGTCATCATCTCTGACATTGGCTCGGGTCCAGAGATCTCTGGGTACACCATGGATCTGGTTTTCTGTGTTCTGTCTTGGGCACTGAATGCTACGTCTCAAGTTGGTGGTGGGGGAAAAAAATAACTCTTGAATTCTGAGCAGCCAGCAAACTTCGGGAACACACCTGTTTTTAAAGTGGAGACAATCTGTTATTCTGTTGGCTAGAGTGACTGAAATTTAATAGTCAGCATTAACGTTGGGAACCTATCATTTAATCATTTATGGGATATGATTCAGTAAATTATATTTATTTCGAAGCACATTGTTCAGAGGGTGTGAATTAACATCAGGTGTCTCTGGGAAAGATAAACCTCAGACTCTGAGAATAGCTGTGCTTAAAACTGCCAATTTATGGCACGCTGCAAACCACCTTTGTTTTGCTCTAATTTTCTTGTTGTAGAATTCGTATCTTTCAAGGTCTTGAGAGCGCTTTCACATTCTGGTGAACAAAGCCGTGCCTAATTTCTGGACTTGCAGAATCCGTGGAGGAGAACACCTGCTGTCGTGTTAGATTAGGCCTTCTGGAACATTCCCCCCCCCCCCCTTTTTTCTTCTTTGTTGCCAGACCGGTTCAGTGAGGTATTTGGTTTCACTGTTTCCTCTTCCGTGCTGTTAAGGACTTCTGAGCTCATGCCTTGTGCAGCCATCCTATTAAGTGGTGCTCGGGGACGCACTTCGGGCTGGGCGTCAGCTGTGGTGTGCACGGACGGCAGGCCTCCTGTCCTGTACTTGGCCACAGTTCTACAGTTTCCCAAAACCAAAGAATGTCGAGATTCCATTCCTAGCTACATTTAGCTGGGAACTATATAGGAACATCTGCCCAAGAAGTAGGAGTAGCAGCAGTGTGTTTTCATAACCTTTATCATTATTTTTAGATTGATTTATTTGAAAAGCAGAGTTATGGGGGAAAAGGGGAGAGAGAGAGAGCGAGCGAGCTTCCATCTGTGGTTCCGTCTCCTGATGGCCACAATGGCCAGGGCTGGGCCAAACCAAAGTCAGGAGCGAGGAGCTCCATCCAGGTCTCTCAAGTTGGGGGCAGGACCCAAGTACTTGAGCCATCTGGCACTGCTCTCTAGGTGCCTTAGCAGGAAGCTGGATTGGAAGCACCGAGTAGTTGGGATCTGATGTGGGATGCAGGTGTCTTACCTCCCTGTGCCACAATGCCCGCCCGATTTCTAATTCTGTCCCCTGTCTGGCCTCCATAAACTCCTATGTACACATAAAAGGCTCTATCCGTTTTACTGGGTTGCTACTTCCTCAGGCAGTGGCCGGAGCTTTCTCTTCCCTCCTGTTCATTTACCCAGCAGAGTGGGGCCCGATTGCCCCGGGTTTAGATCCCAGCTTCTGCTACTTCGAGTTGCTCAGCTTAGCCTCCATCTAGATCTGTCGTCTTTGTAAAATGAGGCCACTGCTAATAAGCTCGACCTCATACTACACTAGGAAAAAAAAAAAAAAAAGAGTGGATACAAATGGATACAAATAAAGTGTCCAGAACATTCTTGGCACATCCTGAGAGCTTTGGAAGTCTAATGAGCAGTGGTGCTGTGCACCTGCCACTGTGCTGCTGGCCTGTCAAGGTAGGTAGGGACTTGCCCCAGAAACCCCTTATCCACAGCTTCCAGTGGTGCCCGGCACACTGGAGGTGCTCATTAACTGCCCGTGGACAGTGTTAAAGTGAGCTTCTTTTACAGGTGGAATGCATGGCATTGTTTGTTTTCACACGCCTCTCCCATGCTCGGTTTATTTTCTCCTATCATCAGTATGTTCCTTCCCACCCTGTGGGCAACAGCTGTGCAAAGCCAGATATTGGCACTTTGATTGACACAACAGCTTCTAATTCACTGCCTTGCGCTCTGTAAGAACTGCGCAGCCAGGCTACGTGCAGCTGGGAGGCACATGGGCACCCGGCTGTGGACCCAGGGTCAGTGGAGAGTGACCAACTGTGGGATTCTGGGAGACCTGGCTCCCCCTGATGGCTTTCAGTCCATGTCCACAGCTCTTTGCCAAGCATCTGACCCTGGGATTGTCTTGTTCCACACGTGATAGGCCCCAAGTGAAGGCATCTTCATGGCTCACTCGCATTTGTCACACTCATGAGCAGGGCTCCAGGCCAGAAGTCCCTGGCATTTCCCGTTGGGGATGTTCTTCTGTGGACCACATTTTCCTCGGGGATTGGATTTCCTGGGTCTTTCCATGTGCCTTTTGCTTTAAAATGTGGATGCGGCAGAGTCGTCATTTCAGTGCCAATTTCCAAAATGCTTCCTGGCCCAGAGACCTACACTGTCCTCTCCGGGCTGTCTCCCTCATTCTTTAAAGCCTTTAAAAATTAGTATCACATTGGGGGCTGGCAGGTTAAGCTGCTTCTTGTGACACTGGGATCTCCTATCAGAGTACTGCGTCAAGTCCCAGCTGCTCTACTTCTGACCGAGCTTGCTGCCAGTGCACCTGGGAAAGCAGTGGAGGATGGCCCAAGTACTCAGGTCCCTGCCGTTCATACGGGTCCAGGCTCCTCTCTTCAGCCTGTGACTATTTGGGGAGTGCACCAGCAGATGGAAGATCTCTGTTTCTCCTCCTCTCTTTGTTACTCTGCCTTTCAAATAAAATAAGTGTTTAAAATTTTTATTGTTAGAGACGAGTTTAACTTTGTTTTTATTTTTTAAAGATTTATTTATTTATTTGAAAGGCAGAAATACGGGAAGGGGGTGGGGAGAGAGCTTCATCTGCTGGTTCACTCCCCAAATGACCAGAACAGCTGGAGCTGGGCCAGGTTGAAACCAGGAGCAGAGGAGGTTCCTCTGGGTCTCCCACGTGGGTGCAGGGGCCCAAGCACATGGGCCGTCCTCTACTGCTTTTCCAGGTTCATTAGCAGGGAGCTGGATTGGAAGAGGAGCAGCCGGGACTTGAACTAGTGCCGATATGAGATGCTGATGCCTCAGGTGGAGACTTTACCCACTACACCACAGCACTGGCCTGGCTTTAGCCCTCTGAAATGGCCTCAGCAGTGAGTGCCACAGCCTTCCATTCTATAGCTGTGCCCACGACTCCCTTTGCTCTTGAACTTGGACTTGTTTTTAGGCATTCCCCTGTAGACCAGAAAGTTCAAAAAGCAATATTTGCAGCATATCCTTGCCTGGGATTCTGTCACCTTTCTGTGGAACAGATCATACAAATAAGCCTGGATCATGGCTTCTGCTGTGTGCAGCCCTCTCTCCCAGCCAGAGGTTATAAAGTGACACCTGGGCATCTGAAAGGGTTAATGACAATCCCCCAACTCCCCCCAACCCCCACACACACACCAGGACCACCTCCCCCCCAGAAGGCCCTGAGAAGGTTTGATGCATCCAGTCTTCAGTAGATGCTGTCCTGCTCGTGGCTGGGGAGTGAGCAGATGGCCGCTTCTCCATATCCAATTGCTGTGTTTGCATCAGCAGTGTCACTCTAGGAAGAGTCGAGAAGAACAGGGAAAATAAACAGAGCTTCATTTTGCTTCTTTGGCCCAGACCTGGTAACAATGCTTGGAAAAGCTGCTTGCAGGTGGCAAAAAGATGCCTGGTGTGGGTCGCAGGTTAGCAGGAATGGCAGCCACACACAGGTGCGCAGGGCAGGCGTCCAGAAGCACCGGCTGGCGGGGAGTCAGCTGGGGCAGGAGGAACTTGACCTCGGCCACAGTCACGGTGGGGAATAATCCTTGGGCCTTTCTTGTGGTTGTGTTGTGTCAGTGTTTCACGCAGACTGGGACTGGTTCTCATACACCACAGGGCTGGCCCCCACACACTTAGGAGAAGGGCTGCCCTGGGTTCCAGGTGAAGGGCTCCATGGAAGAGCTGCCGAGTCGCGTCCTCAGGTTTGCACAGCAGTGAGGTAGGGCTGGGGTTGCTGACCCCCATCCCAGCAAGACCCTTAGCTTCCCTGCCTCCCCCTGCCCTGAGTTCCCTGGTTAGATTCAGGCCCTTTCTCGACCCCACCCCATAGGGTCCTTTTGCACTTGCCGCCCACAGCTCCCACATTGGAGGTCCCCGTGCCCTGGCTGCAGCCCCAGCTCTGTGCAGTTTCTACGCCACCTCTTCCCATCCCAAAGGAATTTACCAGAACCTCAGCCAGGCCTCTCTCAGCTTTGTCTCCTGATGGTTTGGACTTGGAATCCTGCTCCGATCTGCCTCCC